AAAGCGCTCGGTGTCCACCACCTCGTCCTCGTGATTAACTTCCATCAGCTCAGTGCAGTTGTCTGTGAGAACACACGTTACTGATCAATCACAAATAAACATCAGGCATATTATTCATCCTCATGCAAAGTGCACTAGTGAACATACAAATGTGAACTTCGTGTAGGCTTCAGAAGAATTCACAGCACATTTGCTAGAACCCCACCACCAAATGAATGTGTAAACTACAGATGGGCGAACTAGACTAGACAGTCAGAGAGAATAACTAACTCTCTTCTCTGAAGATATAGCTTCTTCTTCCTCTGATCCAGGTCATGTTGTCAAAGCCCAGCAGGGTGGTGTCCACTCTCAGACAGGCCCCACTCTTCCAGATTCTGCACACGTCGCTGGGACACACGCGGGATACCAGAGGAACTGGAGTGAGAAAGAAGCACAAGATGAGGATCATTCAACATCCTAGAAAAGTCATAAGGATTCATGAGAGGAGAGAAAAAAAGAAAGAAGAGCACTTACTCCAGCTAGTAAACTCCCACTTCATCTCCATGTAGAAATCTGGAGACTGGGATAAAAAGAGCTTCATTACACTTCAGGCCCTTTCACATGACTTGCATCAGGGCTTCAACCAGAAGCTGCTCCTGACTAAATTTAGGTAGGGCCGATTCTGGGTCTTAGCTCTAGTTTATGGTTTTGTAAGATTTATATTCTAATCACTGAACACATGCATAACACTCTTGGCAGAGGCGTTATTCAGCCTTGGGGTGGAGTTTCTAATGTTGATTGACAAGCTTCCTTTAAGTACACATGACACACGTATAGAATGCTATCTTAGTATTGACTTAACGTAATATTTATTGCCTCAGAATGTTGTTTTAGAATATTACAAGTGGAGGAATTCCGGTGAGGAAAACAAAGTCATGTCTATTCTCAGAACAAACCTTAAACAAACACAGCAGAACTATATAAAGGCTATATATATGAGCATGTTTAAACTAAAGGATTTATACTTTCATTAATTTGACATGCTACTCCATATAGGACGAACAGAAAAGCCAACTAGTTACTGACCTAATGCAGACTAATATACATATAGCTAAAGCGAATTGATATCGTCTTGAGCGAGGTCTGGAGCGAGGTTTACGTAAGTTAACCTGAAAAAAAGCAGGGCCCCCAATGGCTCTCTATTAGAGCCCGCCACAGTTCCATTTTTCAGCACAGATTTACATTGGATTTACATTCTGCTCACTTTATGACTAAAAATAGTCTAGAAAATCCAATAACAATATTTGTTGCAGATAATGCAGAATGCTAAACACATTTACAATTTATTATTGAGTCAGTTTCTATGTCCTTACAGACGAGCCGCGGCTGGCTTAAACACAAGCGTCACGTGCCACGTCATGCAATTTTATGAGGTTGTTTGGTAGCAAGAAAGCATATGCAGTGCACAGTGAAAAGTGAAAGCAAAAGTTACAATATTTGAGCTTAGAAGAACAGTGCCAAATGAAAATGAAGTCGGATTGCTGAAAGAATAAAACAATATGCCTTTGATGTTAACACACAGAAAGGGTTTTGTAATGGCCTTGTAGCGAAATCAATGGCAAAAGCATAATATAATTTACACACTACCATTCAAAACCTTGAAACTAAATTTGTTTTAGGAAATTGCAAGGATGCATTAAAATGATCAAACTTGACCGCTTATATTAAGGAATGTTAATAAATTCTGTTCTTTTGAAATGTCAAATCCTGAAATCCTGAAAAAAATGTATCACAGTTTCCACAAAAATATTAAGCAGCACAACTGTTTTCAACATTGATCATAAACAAGAAATGTTTCTTGAGCACCAAAGCAGCATTTTAGAATGATTTCTGAAGGATCATGTGGCACTAAAGAATGGACTAATTAAATGCAATAATATTTCGCAATATTACTGTTTCTACTGTATTTTGACAGACGCACCTCTCGGATCTTGCACAGTAGCTCTGGAACGCCACCCAACGCAGTGGAGGCTTTGACATAATCTCGCCGCTGGAGCACCAGCTGCACCATCTCAGGATCTCCTGTGCTAACCGCTTCCTGCAGCACTGTACAGACAACAAGATGATATATGACCTAATATGCTTACCCAAGGATATAGACTTGTAATGGAAAGGTAAACATACTAGTCTAGCACCACTATAAATCACATATGACAAAAAAGACTAATGACCAGTAAGGATGTGATTATTAGAGTATATATAATGCTCGCTGAATCTCCGAAAAGCTGAAACAGAGGTACTAAACACTTTCACTGGCTGGAAAAACCACTGATGACACAAGCCGAGGACGTGGTGGTGGTAATAGTTCTAATGGCATTCTTGTGAGAGCCAATGCAGTTTACTTTGAAGACCGCTATGGCTTCATTCTCACCTGTCCAATGTTTGTCATTTTCTTTGGAAACATCCGCGCCGTGTCTGAGCAGCACTCTCACGGACTCCAAGTGTCCAAGTGAGACGGCCAGGTGCAGAGGGGTCCGGCCCCGGGGATCCACCTCTTCAATGTAACTCTGAAAGGAGTGTAAACACAGACAGTTCATATCTTATGGAGGAAACTGAAAAGGGGCAAAAAATCATAAGCATTGCTGCATGGCTTGTGACAATGTGGAACGCAACTGTAATTAACCAGAATATTAGACCCTCTTCCTGTGAAATGATGTCTGATTTATCAGTCACCTACAGCATGGGGTTTTCAATCTTTTAGATGCCACATACAGTGGGGGAAATAATTATTTGATCCCCTGCTGATTTTGTAAGTTAGTTTGCCCACTTACAAAGAAATGAAGGGTCTATAATTTTTATGGTAGGTTTATTTTAACAGATAGAGACAGAATATGAAACAAAAAATCCAGAAACAACACATTATATAAAGGTCTACAATCTGGTCCCTGACGTGTGACGTTTGACAGCTCTTTGGACAGATTAGCCCTGTCTTTAGTGACAGGGCTAATCTGTGTTCCACATGGGCAGATAACCAATCACTGGGAAGCTGAATTCTTGCTGGTTGGTAGGAGACAAAATACTTATTTCACTCTAACAAATGCAAATCAATTAATTACAAGCTTTATATAATGTGTTTCTCTGAATTTTTTGGTTGATATTCTCTCTCTATCCATTAAAACAAACCTACAATAAAAAATATAGACCCTTAATTTATTTTTAAGTGGGCAAACTTACAAAATCAGCAGGGGATCAAATAATTATTTTTCCCACTGTACCCACAAATATGATCATCCTCATGTGAAGGACCACTCGTCTTAAAATGTAAAAGGCATCTATGTATTTAAATGTATAAAGACCCCATTTTTTATGTGAAAAATAAATGTTATAAATATGTGCAAAATATTATTTAGTTTCGTTTTAGTTTTTTTTCTACTAACTACAGTACTGTTAGTGTTATTAATAATCATCAACATTTTTATCTTATTTTTTACATTGAATTTCTCTAAACTTTTCCACGGAACCCAAATTAAAAAGCACATCTATAGCATGGTGCAGTAAAATGAATCTCTACTGTTACTTAGATGAGCTCACCAGCTCTCCAGTGCAATGCAAAACAGCAGGGCTGTGGCTAACAAGTGGATGGCAAGCTGATGAAGCATTTTGCAGTAAGATCCAATAATGCACCAAGTCCAATATCATTAGATTATTAAACACATGACACGCATGTCATGACATCCACAGGAGGCAGAAATCTCTCAGCGGTCAAATCATTGATTAATTTTACCATTAGCTTCATAGTGTGTACAGACATCAGCAGCATTTACGGATATCTCACACATACCGTCTGTAGCTCCTTTTCCAGCTTCCTGTAATCATTCTCCCACACCAGGATATGCAGTGGAAACCTGAGGCTGAAATCCTCGACGCTAGCAGCGGTGGCGGATAACATTCTGGCTCGATCTAACTCTCCGTGTCTCAGCCTCCGAAATCAAGAGCCAGCCTTCGAGCTAGCTACTGTCATGAACCATCAAATCTCTTCATGCGTCAATTCATTTCTGATAAATATACAGAGACTCTGGCTATTAAACAGATGAAGACGCCTAAGCAAAGGAAACGCCGAAAACGCAACCAACTTTTTTCAAAATAAACTTTTGAAAAACAAGGAAGTGGCAGGTTGAAACTATGTGGGTAGGGGTGTATCCAGTCATTTGAAAAACGGTTCCCCCAAACCTTTTTGCATTTAGTTGTATTTATAAATATTGTTCTCAACATAAAATGGTCGATAAGAGCCTAATTAGCTATACATGCTCTATCACAAAATCGTAAAGGATACATTATTATTTTTTCTAATTAAAATTGACAAGCCCAATGCCAGACTAAACCATTCCATATGAAGGAGGGGTGGTCGTGTTCTAAAATATGCCAAATTCTCTTAAATCAACGAGTGAATTTTGCATAATCTTAATTAGATTAAACAAAAATGTTTTTCAAATGAAAAATCAGTAAACAATTGTAATAATTCATCTCACTGGTACTGTCTGAAATTCGTTCGCCTGCGAGGGTAAGCGCGACGCCGCCTCTGTGTTTTAAATGATCTTCAGCTCATCAGGAGCGGCTCGCGACTGGAGCCGCTCCTGCGCATGCGCGGAAACGAACGCAGTATGTTATGAAGATCGCGTCCTCCTAGAGATGCCTTGCATTTCATTTGCCGACACTGTTTGGCTCATTTGAGTTTGAAGATATATTCCAAACATAAAGAGGATTTATTTGTTTTCAGACTTACTTATTCAGTATAATCGTCTCACGGCCTGTAAATAAATGTATAAATGAATAGAATATCTCACGCGTTGCAGTGAAGCGTCTGTCCACTGTGTGTCAGGCAGCGCTAGAAAGCTGATTTATCGAGACACTCAAATGTGTGGTCTGGGAGGGCAGATGGCACTCGACTGCAATCTTATGGGTTACTGGCAGTGGCAAGCATTTCCGTAGTGTAGTTTTTAATGTATAATGACACTGCTCCACTGCCTGACTTGTCTGTCCTAATTTCAAGCTAGATAGTACGACATATATTATTCCACATACTGCGTTCGCACCGATTCGCACACATCTATCTCCTCCGTATGCGCGTCCTCTTCGGGTATGAGATCCTCTTTCAGTGATACAATACTTTTAAACGGATCCCGTCATTATGTCAAAGCTGTGCATGCTTTAAATTTATCCGTGGACCATTCTGAGTCGATAATAGATGGTAATACCCGCGTTACCGGAGACAAGGATGTCGAAACGGCTGCGAAATAGCGAAGTTTGTGCGGACTGCAGCAGTTCGGGTGAGTAACAACGTTATTCTGCTAACGTTACTATAGAATTTTTAGTAAAAGACTAAACTTGCTCTGGACAACCAGGTGATATTACCGAATTAAATGACCCAATGATAACATTTAGCTATACAAATATATGATTCAGATCATAAGTCAACCTTCTATAAAACCAGATTCAGATTTGGAAATGACTGGATAGTAAATGTGTGCTTTTTGGAGCATGATGCTGTATTGGCCGTGGCTCAAAACCTAGTGAGGTGTCTACCTAGACAGCATTTTAGGCTTCATTTGCTCGTGCCCAAAGATTCTGCTCTTTTCCAGCTATTTTGAGACCGAGCCACCGCATGTTGACTCAATTTTACGGGTTTTTCTTCAGCTTCCAATGTTGCTGTGAAGGTTTGTGATCAATCATTGTTTTTCACCTCACTTCATTGTCTGTGGAGAAATGGGTAAACATACTTGACCCTCAAGGGGAATTCCAGGTGAAAACATCGACAACATCCAAGTTTGCTCGATGTGGCCTTATTCATTACTAACAAGTGACCCTAACCAACACATGCAGTGCCCTGACGTTTGAGAGATAGAACAGATAAATAAAATGTCACATAACATTGTTGTCGTAACTACACCGTGTTCATGTGTAATGATTTGTCTTTGTGATAAATGCATTGAATAATTACAATTCATGAGAGATTTGACTTCCTAAGCCTATAAATGACATGAACAACATTTATTTGATTTGATAAATGTGTAGAGAACAGTATCATATGCCTTCATTTATGTAGTGTACTGTATTTAGGATAGACCCATTTTAGTGTTTGAACTATAAAACGCGGTTAACTTTCTGTCCTGTGATTTGTTTGGTTCTGTTTTCTCCTCATTCCCCATATTGATTCCTCTTGATTCGTTACGCCTCAAACACCAGCTGGCCTGGGCTGCCCCAGCATGTCAGGAGGGATCGTTGGGCAGTTGTTGTTAGGGTGAATATTTTTAGTCATTCAGCACTGGGTTTTATTTTAGCCGCTGCAGCACTTGATGGGGAAGAGATCAGCCCTCGGCTCGGAGAGGGAGGGAGAATGAGGGTGAGAGGGGAATGATGGCCAGGTGCTTGATTCTGGCCCTTGGCCTCTTTGCAGCTGTTGTTTGATACTTCCTGTGCATGAAGGGAAGTGACTTTTGCTTCTAGGCTGCTCTCTGCTTATCAGTGGATCGGTTTTTAATTTAGATAACTCATGTTTCTGTTTGACTGATGCTATTGTGGTATCATATATCCTATCAAGCTGGCTGTGAAATCCAAACTGGTCACTAACTTCATTAGTTTCGGAGACTTTAATGACCTGCTCACTTGACGCAGTAAAAGCATGTGTGTTAGTCCAGATTTAACACTTGATCCTCTGCGGTCAAATTTTTTTTTTTTAAATGAATGTACTATATTTTGTTTCAATAATATTTATTCTTTAACATTTTGTATTTTTAGGGTATTTCTTGGTACTAGACAATATTCACCTCTAAATGAATGATGCACCATTTATTTCTATATAAAATAATACAAATAATTCAAAATAATACTGTATATATAGGAATCTTTATTCCCTAGTTCCTTATAAGTGTATTTTCAGGCTTAAAAAATTGCACATTTCGTATTTCCCATTAATTTTCTTGTGCGTGGCCTTTTTGAGCACAATGCTCAAGTGTAACTATTATTTAAGACCATTTAGCCTTTTGTGTTCATATAGGAGGTGTAACAAAAGTTACCTAGTTTTGTACCTTTGTAGTACCTTCATTTTTAATAAAGTACAAAAATTGCAAAAGTTTGTTTATAACGTATATTTGTTTGTCTAAAATGACTAAGAAAATGGCTGTTGATTTATATATCCGTTCAAATTTTAATCTTCCGTACAAGTCAAGAATGGAGAAAAAAAAATTAATTAGTATTTATATATCCGTTCAAATTTTAATCTTCCGTACAAGTCAAGAATGGAAAAAAAAATTAATTAGTATTTGCAGAAATGAAAAGAAATGTTTGCCTGTTATCAGTCTGAAAATAAAATCCTCAACTCTGTTCTTGGGGAATTCTCACACTCTCAAGCGCTGACTCAAATCATTGTTTCTGAAGGAAGTGAAATCACAAGTTGGCCTGAATCTGTCCTTGGGAAAAGTTGAGGGGGGTGGGGGGACTGCTCAGACACATTAGTCATAGGTCCAGTGTGATTGACCCCACTTTCACTGATTTGGCATCATGACTCAGTGAAGGAGGGAGACTATGTATGACATATTCTATTAAAAACTGCCTTGGTATGTGACAAGTGTTGAGTGACAAGTGTTGATTCTGTCTCAGTCTAGGTCGTTGAGTTTGTCTAGTGTTGTGGTGACTCTGAAGGATCTTGTTCTCTGCTGGTGGGTCGTGACCCAAAAATGGTTTAAAGGGAGGTATAATACTTTCCATATCTTCTGTTGTTGACTTTCAAGGTTGTGCATCAAATCAAACTCTATGATAGTGCAAATTTACCGGCTAATACTGCTGCAGTGTTTAGCCGTGTTTGTTGCATGTGTTTCATTGCTAAATCACTCTTCTGCTGTTGGTTATACATTTACGAATACTACAAAAAATCCTGTTCAGCCTATTATATTTTATGTAAACATTTGTTGTATTTATGTAGTTCATTAATACTGTATTTTTCGGTTGCCACTTTATGCTCAGTGTCTGAATCTGAAGTGAAACCAGTTTAGAATCACGCTGCAGTAGACAGGTTTTTTGAAGGTAGTGAAACTAAGAAGCCACAGTGTTTCCCAGTTCACCTGCTCATACCCTGAAAGTAAAGCTCAGCTGCTTAGCATTTGTTGTGGTTTGAGGCATGTGTATGTAAGAGGAAGTTAGCGCGTTTACAGCCATACATGAAAGGATGACATTCACCCTTTGCTACTGTGGCCTTATAAGGAAGAACTGAGCACCACATTTAGTTGTCGTCATATATTACATCACATGCATATCAAAGCTACATTTTAGACATCTGTGCTACTAGTGGTTTAACAGACTTTTATAGTGGAACATAAGCAAATTAATACACATACTATGTATACACCAAATGCATTTTTAAAGTAAAATGTTTGTTTGTAGTGTAAATAATACATTTTAAAGTCAAAATGAAATCAAAAAGTTTGCTTTCTTAATTCTCATTTGTGATGATACGACTCCTTTGTGCATATAAAGTTCATTTTTTTAAGTGCTAAGATTCTACTAAGCATCTCTCCTCCATCAGCCTTTTAAAAGTGTTGTGTTTCTGTTTCCATTTTCATGCAGCATGCACCAACCAAAAAGCTCCATTAGCGTTATCGTGTATTGATCAATGATCCACGCACTGCTGACTCTGAGACACGCTGTTTGTTTACTTCCTGTGAATCTGTTGATTTTCTCGGGGTCCCTTAGATCCTCGCTGGGCGTCTGTGAACAGAGGAGTTCTGATATGTGACGAGTGCTGCGGCGTTCACCGCAGTCTGGGCCGCCACAACTCGCAAGTGCGGCATTTGTCAAACACCTCCTGGCCGCCAACCCAGCTACAGGTGAGCCCACTCAGACAAATAGCCACCCTATAGGGTTCCTTTTGATACTTCTTGTTTTTAACTGATCAACCTGCTTCATCTGAGACTTTTTGACATTATAGTAATCATCTTTAGTCTGAGGCATATTTAAAAGTAGTGGTTGACTGACATGGGTTTTTGTTTTATAGCCGATGTTGATATAGAGTTCTGAGTATATGGTAAAATATTTGAAAGAAGGGAATGTGAATAATCCACTCACAAGATTGTTGATAGATTCTAGATAAGCACTAACTTTGGTTAATCGGCTTATTCAGATTATCTTAAAATACAAAATAAATGCTGATTGATCAACTTGTCAAATATATTTTATATATCAACTTGTCCTATAAATGGTTGAATACTTGGTTCCTGCTGAAAAGCTCCATACAGTCAAAATTAAGGATACAGAGAGGTATTATTTAGGTAGTTATTATTATTATTATATAAGGTAGGTATTATAGAGGTACAGTAAGGTATTGTATGCATTAAAAAGAAAAACTGATGCATTTTATTATTGAGAAGTGTCTGCTAAGGATGGGCCAAAATTGAAAATAAAACAAAATAATTTGATTTTAATTTTCAAAAATACAGTTTATGCAATGATTTGACATTTTTCATTATCACAAGGCAAGACAAAATACATGTACAAATATAGCCTATTTGTTATGCTAATGCAATAGTAGTAACCCAAATTCAATTCTTTTTTTTTTTAATTCTGATTTAATTACTTTCTCTTGTCATTTTTAAAGTCAATCTCAATGTAAATTCCATAGAAAGAGATAACAATAGCCATTGTTTTAGTCTGTGGTTCTAAAACGACTCCGTCTTCTCTTAATTTGAACACGAGGAACAGTCACAGACTCATTAATGTGCTTTTCTTGTACAGCCTACGACATCTTCTCTCTCAAGTTCCTGTTCTCTTCGATTGATTGCTTTGATCCCATAATGTCTCTTTTCATTTAATGTGTCCTTGTTGTGTAGTACATTTTTCCACATTCTTATTTACAGATCTGTGTTTTTCTAATCCATCAATAGAGTCTTTTGAATATTTTTAAGAAAACGGTTTATTGGTGTGCGCCCTCACTGGAGGCCCTTCCAAGAGAGACTGTGACTCACAAAGCATATTTAAAGAAGCATGTTGTCATAATGGATTTTTGTCTTGTGATGTATGCCCTCAATTTCTTTCTCATTCACAGATGGTTCAGACATTATACAACAATGGTGCTAATGCAATATGGGAGCACACTCTGCTGGACCCGTCATGCATCATGAGCGGGAAACGCAAAGCCAATCCTCAGGATAAAATCCAGTGAGTATTTTGTTTTTAAACATTTTCTAACATAGCAGAATGATGTATGTTTGCTATACACTATCATTCAAAAGTTTTGGATCAGTGAGATACATATTTTTTATTCAGCAATGATGCATTAAATTGATTAAAAGTGACATTAAAGCCATGTATAATGTTACAAACGATTTCTATTTCAAACAAAAATTGAACTTTCTATTCATTAAAGAATCCTGGGGACAAAATTGCACACAAATATTAAGCTGTTTTCAATGATAATAATGTTTCTTGAGCACCAAATCGGAATATTAGAATGATTTCTGAAGGAACATGTGACGCTGAAGACACTGAAGAATTCAGCTCTGTCATCACAGGAATAAATTTAATTAATAATGATGTCATTTTTTAAATATATTAAAATAGAAAACAGTTATTTTAAACATTTAATATTTTACAATGTTACTGTATTTTGGATCAAAGAAATGCAGCCTTGGTGAGCATGAGACTTCTTTCAAAAACATTCAAACCTTACCAACCCCAAAAGTTTGAACTGTTTTATATAAAAAAGATAGTAGCTGAGATAAAGCAACTCCCCCAACTGTTGACTGTCTCTAATACCTCCATTGTTTCTCTCACCCAAAAAGTCCCAACAAGGCAGAGTTTATAAAAGCAAAGTATCAAATGCTGGCTTACGTCCATCGTTTACCCTGTCGAGATGACGACAGTACAGCAGCCGCTGATCTAAGCAAGGTAAGGAAAGAGTTTCGATATTCAAAAATGTGATGCATCCATTATGAGACATTTTTTTCAGGTTTGTCTTAAATTATTATTGTTGAATTATAAATTGAAATGGTTCCTCTAGCAGCACATCTAAGGCGCATCAGGTTTTTGTGTGCGTGCTATCAGGCTTGTTGAACTGTCTCTATTGATGCGCATTGTTTTTGATTCTTCAGCAACTTCACTCCAGCGTTAGAACCGGCAATCTTGAGACTTGTTTGCGGTTACTGTCACTTGGAGCTCAAGCCAACTACTTCCACCCGGTAAAAACCTCTCTTCCAGCCTTCATTTATTATATTCAGTTACATACAAAATGCATTTTAACTTTTCTGCTCTGGTTTAAACAGGAGAAAGGGAACACCCCGCTGCACATAGCAGCTAAAGCAGGGCAAGTGTGTCAGGCTGAGCTTCTCTGTGTTTATGGGGCAGACCCTGGGGCTCCAGACTCCAACGGCAAAACGCCCATCAACTATGCAAGGTAATCAATAGCTACTGCATTGATGGCCCGAGCCACTGGGCATATAACTCTGCATTTATAGATTACTTACTATATTTTATTTATCAGTTACCTTCACTAACAAATATCCATGTTAAGTCCATGGTAGTGTTGTTTTAGTATTGTTTAGACAAAGCGACTTGCGTTGCATTTCAAGGTACACATTTACATTCTTATCTGTTCTTGCTTTCCCTGGGAATCGAACCCATGTCCATGGCATTGCAAGCGGCAAAAAAATAAAATTATTTGGAAAGGTCTTGAAAATGGCATTAAAATGTATTACATTGAAAGTGCAAATGTCTGCAGTTACCCTGTTTTAGTACTTAAATTAGAAATGTACCCTTGGTAACTAATTGTAATAAGTTTAAGTTTTTCATCATGCTTTATTTCAGCTTTTTTGGTCATTGAAATAAAGCTGAAATAAAGCATGATGAAAAACTTGAAAATTAGAAATGTTCCCTTGGTAACTAATAAAGTAAATCAATTATATTTCTATTTAATTAATAACAACACTGGTCCAGGGGTATGTATGGTGTCCCATTTGTTATTTTATGATTCAGAGGGCCTACTGTGCGCCCTATTACTGGTGCAGATTTCATAGGAGACTCTGAGAAGGACCACAAGGTCTGAGGGCAGCATTTGGCACGGGACCTAAAAGTTCAAAAATAAAAAGCCATGTGTCATAACGTCATTGTGTTGTTTGTATTCAGGCAGGCTGGCCATCAGGACCTGGCAGACAGACTGGTGGAAGTACAGTATGAGCTCACAGACAGGCTGGCCTTCTACCTCTGTGGGCGGAAGCCTGGTGAGTCCGTGTGTTATCATGATGAGAACTGATGTTTTCATATCCAGCTGTTTATGCTGATGAAGCCATTTTACAGCATGCTTTTACTTTAGTCAGATCGGATGATGCGTTATGGTCTTCAAAGTGCCAGATGCCTCAGTAAAATACCACAGTGATGTTACAGTGAGCTTGATGTGTTTATGCTTTAGTGTGCATCTTTGTCAGTGGATTGAGTTAAATGAGTACTGTGAGTCAGTACTGTCATCATTCTGTGTTTCAGATCACAAGAGTGGACAGCATTTCATTATACCACAGATGGCGGACAGGTAGTAATAATCTGATATATTTTGATGTTCCCCTGTTAATGATACTGGTGCCACCCTTATAGAAGTTTCTTCTGTAGTAGAGGAGTATTCGGGGTTGTGCTTGGTCATGTTTTGGATCTTCTGGTTGCATCCCAGAATACTTCCCTGAAAAGCTGAGATAGTGATCCAAGCAAGTTTTTAATGTTAACATTATTTAATGTTAATATCTTGCCATTTCTTTTTCTTTTTTTTTCTTTTTTTTTTTGCTGTCTTTGATGAAAAAGAAATGTGTAAGTATTTTACATGGTAGTTAATTTAATATCACCTTATCTTTTACCATTACAGATTTGATGATAAAGCTATTTTTAAAAAAAACCCTAATATTTTTACTATTTAATTCCTTTTATAGCAGTCTGGAGTTATCAGAATTTGCAAAAGCTGCAAAAAGAAAACTGCAGTCTGTGAGTCCTCTATTTTACTTTTTATTTTTTATTTTATTTTTTTGCTTTAATCAATGTATCAGCATAGCCTCCAAACAGAACAAAAGTAAGCACTAATGTTGGGGAGTAACTAACTAAAAGTTAAATGCTGCTAATCTAACTACATATTTCAGTAGGATTACAGTAGTTCAATAGTGAATCGGAACATTTGGACAGTTAGTGTAAATCAACAAAACAATTGAATGGTTTGTTTTATTAAAAAGATTAACAGAAGTCCCTCCAAATTCTTTTTTAATCATGTTTTATAGCAAAATACTAAACTAAATTCTGCTTTATGAATTTACGTTGGTATATTAAGCGAAATATTCAATTAAAGGGTCATCACTTTGTTTTTGACTAGTTTTATTTAGTATCAGTTTATCTGTTCAAATGATGTCAACCGTAATTGAACGCAATCTACTAGCAAAACGCAAACCCATATCCTCATTGTTTTGTAATAGATTAATGCTACTGTGATTGCAGAGATAAATGAGACCATTTGTAGCTGCACCCTTTACATTTTGCTAGTAGACTGTGGTATAGATAACTACCAATTGAAATGGTAGCTCAACTGAAGTTTAACCTGTCTCTAAACATGCTTTTATGCAGTTTTACAACCACTGAGAGCACAGATGACGTATGTAACTAATATAATTGCAGCTCAGCGATCATTTGTTTGAGGAATTAGCAATGGATGTGTACGATGAAGTGGATCGAAGAGAGACAGATGCAGGTGAGATAATCAGCATGTGATGAACAAAGGAAAGAAAAGGCTCATGAAATGTACATCATACAATTGCAAAGCGTGACACACGCTGTCTTTGTATTGGTGTAGTTTGGCTGGCCACTCAGAACCACAGCACTTTGGTAACAGAGACAACAGTTGTGCCTTTCCTTCCTGTAAACCCAGAGTACTCATCAACACGAAACCAGGCAAGTACTGCACGACGCTTTCAATAGTCATCTTAGCAGGAAATAAAAATATTGCTCTTTGACAAGTGAACTTTTTTTATAGCACCTTTTATGCAGTGTTTGCAGCTGGAAGTGCACCATGCAGAAATGTGCCAGACGAACATGCAAACAGAGATGCCACAAAATGAATAAAAAAGGAAATGGCATCAAAACTGCTATGAACAAACAGTTTGCATAGACAACCCAAACCACAAAGAGACATTTTATGAGAAGTTGTGCTCATCCTTCCCTCTGGGCATTTTGACCTTTTTACAGTCTATGATTTTGACCCGAAGTTTTATTTTTATTTTTTTTAAATGAGTGTTCATCAGAGTGGTCCAAGACTTCAAAAGGAGAAAGAATTGACTGGATTTGAGGAGTTTATGTGGTTAAAATAAAAAATCCTTACCTCAGGGGTCAATTTGACCCCCTTAGGAATGAGTGGAACATCAAGTATGTCTACGTGTGTGTATATCTGAATCTGAATGCATTCTGAAGAGAAAATTCGAGAACTGACTTTAGGACCCAGCGGAACAGCTCATTTGCTCCATATAGAGTAGTGTTTCTCAACGGAGGCGTTCAGAGAACAACGATTTTTGAAAGGGGGGTGTTCAAATGTTCACGAATTTACACCAAAGATCCAGGCAAGACAAGATTAAACATGTAATTACTTGCACAAGAATTGCCTACAACATTCTAAAATCTGCCAGTTTGCATGTTCGTCTGGCACATTTCTGCAAGAGACTCCACCTACAATCACCTGCATGAACGGTATGGCTCTGGAGTATGTCAAAGAATATAAATACCTAGGTATCTGGTTGGATTCATCCCTGTCATTCATTACACACATCAATAACCTTCAAACAAAAGTCAAAGCTAGACTAGCCTTTCTTTTCCGTAATAAAGCCTCCTTTACCCATGCTTCCAAATGCACCCTCGTTAAGACGACAGTACTGCCAATTTTGGATTACGCCGATATTATCTACAGAATGGCACCAAACACAGCTCTAAAAAAACTTGACACAATCTATCATTCAGCCATTCGTTTTGCCACTAATGCACCCTTTCACACTCATCACTGTGACCTGTATAATCTGGTGGGTTGGCCCTCCCTTTATACCCGGCGGCTCCATCATTGGTTTCTCTTCATATACAAGACAATTCTGGGCAAGGCACCTCTCTATTTGTCATCCCTACTTCATGCCGCTCATAATACCTATCACACAAGATCAAGTAATTTGATTAAATTAAGTACCCCCCCTACTTCTACTACCTTTGGACGTAATGCCTTCCGCTTTGCATCAGTACATGACTGGAACATACTACAAAATACCCTGAAACTTACATCTCTGATCCCAATCTCCACCTTTAAGCAAAAGCTCGAAAATTACATAGTTGACTCTTGTTCCTGCTGACAATCATGAACTATATTTATACACGCATATTTAAGCACTCTATTCCTTTTCTTTTTCCCCTTTGTTGTCTATCTTTTTTTAATTTAGTTACTTGTTCTATGTGTTATGTGTTTGAATGTACAGCTGTACAGTATGTTGTTATTTATTCCTGTAGCCTCTTGGCCAGGTCATGTTTGTAAATGAGAAGTGGTTCTCAAACAGTTTACCTGGATAAATAAAGGTTAAAAAAAAGAAAAAAGAAAAAAAAAGTTTAATGCGACATGTTAGCTATGTATCGTTTCATTTGCAACGACTCTATTATTTTTCCAGTCATAGACCAGCGCTCAAGCGCTGACTAAAATCCAGTGGTGGCTAGAATCAGTATTCACATGCACAAAAATGTGTTTCGCACTGACAACAATCCGGTGGTGGCTAGAATCCAGCGCTGACTAGACTCACGCAGCGGAGGAATGGAAAGTTGACAAGTCATTAAAGTATTGACTTAAGAACCACTTATATATTTTCCAATATTTTTCAACAAGTCATGTTCCCATTCACTCGGGTGACTAATTTAAAATGAACACTTAATTTTGTGATTCTATAAGTTATGTTCTGTATCGCAGAGTGGTATGTTCTTCAATAAAACAGTTTTTGAGGGGAAAATGAAAATAAATATGATTTTACATCTTGATTTTATGTTAATTTTTTGCATTTCATTTAAAGTTAGATTGTTAATATATTAATAATCATTTATGAATTTAAATACTTTTGTGTCATCCTGAGGCCACCTTGTAAGTTTGCTGAGTCCCCCTAGTTGGCCCTGGCCCCCTGGTTGAGCTGTTTTTAAATACAAGAATGTGTCCCGAAAAAAAGCATGCCTAATCGGGCTCTAATTATACAGGGCTTCCATAAGACCAGATGTTTGTTCAGATGGTGAATATGCAATAAATTCAGGATTTAACTTCTTTTCCAGGGAAGACAAAAGCTGGCAAGGTTCAACGCTCATGAGTTTGCCACACTTGTGATTGATATTCTAAGTGATGCAAAGCGACGCCAGCTGGGGAATTCAGTCTCAAGTCCTAAAGGTACAGCCTGCATTCAGACACACCAGTCTTTGATTTCTTTTATAGATTTTCCTGATGTTTCATGGTTGTCTACTTCTTCATAGACAACGTTGACGTGTTCTTCAAAAGTGTGGGTAGTCGTCATGGAAGTGAAAGTCAGGAAATCGACCAGCCAGACTATGACAGCGTGGCATCCGATGAGGACACAGACTCTGATTTACGAATAGGCAAAGCAGACAGAGCGAAGGTTAACTATCCCTTTTAAGAAGTGACAGTTTATGTTTCCTGTTACATTTCTCAATGGTTATAATAGAAGATGGTGATTGGTGTACTTTAAACATAATGGAAGGTTTTGACTGTTTATGATCCAAAACTACTTTGTCCTCTCATAAAAGAACATGTAACGATTTTTGTTGTGTTTAAAATGTATGATGATTTGAAAGTGGTTTTGAAGTATTTGTATTTAAATTCCCACACAAAAGTTGTGTATTATGTTTTTCAGATACTTTTATAAATGTTCATGATTAGAATAATTAGACCACTGTGACATTTGTGTGATAAAACAGATACTGATTTACGAATAGGCAAAGCAGACAGAGCTAAGGTAAGCCGGTGGAGCTTTAGGAATTTTGTTTTGAGCCGTTCTTGCCATCCCAGTGTACATGTGTACATGTTGGCCATCTTTCCATCTTTCTTCTTTTCCCCTCAGAGCCTGGACTCTGATCTGTCCGATGGACCGATTTCAGTGCAGGAGTTCCTGGAGGTGAAAAACGCACTTTCCGCTTCCGAGGCCAAAATTCAGGAACTGATGAAAGCCAACAGTAATCTGAGCGAAGAGCTGAGATTGATGCAGAAAAAGGTACCAGAGATTCAGCAGTGAGCGCTGAACGCCCTGGTCAGAGCAGCGTTTCTGCTCCTAAACAAAGCAAGACTGTCTAACCCCTACACCTGCACCTCTTCTCGCACGTGAGGGGGCAAAATTGCAGGTGACCTAAAAGTCCCGTCTGACTGACCGATTATGATTCTTAAAATCCTCTGGAATGCTGATGTCAAAATAATCCTGTAATATCTGCCGTAGTGTTCAAATAACCAGCATGACCTTAACTTGTAAATCACTCGAAAAGATGCTCTATCAATGACGTAAACTCAAACCATACTGACTTTTTGGCGTTTGATTGCAGATGAGATAAGTTGGCATGCTATTGCTAACCTCCCTAACTGCAAACCTGATTCAGCAGTTGGCTCTTGCATCAGCATGACTCGTTTTAATTGTCTGTTTCTATATGTGTACATTAGACAAGCGTTTCCACAATATAAAATTATAGATTGAATATAAAATAATAATTCTGAATTGAATTTGGAGGCTGTCATTTCTATGTGAACATGGTTAGAAATATATATTTTTTTCTCTTTCACATAGACATTGAACCCCATTCAAGGAATATTCTCTAAAGACAATAAATTATAAAGTAGTTATAGAGAGGAGAGAAGTGAATTTGCTCACACTCACTGAAGTGTGTTTAATATAGTCTTGAATAAATCAAACAGTATTTTTAGTGGTATTTTCTCAGTGATAAAATAAGAGCAGTCCCTCAACGGCCCAAATTTTAAAGGGATAGTTCACCTAAAAATATGGAAAACAATACTATGGAAGTCAATGGCTATGGTCAACTGTTTGGTTACCCACACTTCTGTGTTCAGCAGAAGAAAGAAGTTCATACATGTTTGGAATGCCTTGAGGGTGAGAAAATGATAACATCGTTTTCATTTTTGTGTGAACTATCCCTTTAAGGATGTTACCGTTTCACCCCGTTTCCTGTTACACTTCTCAATGATTAAAATAGAATATGGTGATTAGGGTACTTTAAATGTAACGGAAGGTTTTGACTGTTTATGATCAAAACTACTCGTAAAAGAACTATGTAACTAGTTTTGTTGTGTTGCTAAAGTTCTGAGTTCTTGCTTAAAATGTATGATGATTTGAAAGTGGTTGTGAATGTATTTCCCACACAAAAGTTGTGTATTATGTTTTTCAGATACTTTTATAACTGTAATGATTAGAATAATTCTACCATTGTGACATTTGTGTGATAAAACTGTGTGGCTTTGCATTGGATGAAAATCTGAAAATAGAGATGGCCCAAATCATGTTATCATGAGTGAAGTCCTTAGGCCCTTTTGTTGCGCTCTGCATTTCCTTTCTGATCCTAGCCTTTCTGATCCTGGCTCGAGCTATTTGGCTACTCTCTGAGCTGCGGAGTGAATCTCTGTCTCTCACTGTAGATTCTTAAACACGTCTAACTCACGCTTGTTCTGTGAACATGTCTAGACATTGCATATACCCGTGCCTGCATGCTAACTTGGATTTATTGAGCAACTCCATTTAACGCTTTTCTATCCCTTTTTTCCTTATTCATTCAAAGTTCCCCTAAGATTTTAATTGAATTTAAAATAAATTTTCCTCATAATTTATCTAAAATAATTACTACCGTTGGTTTTTTATAAGATCTAAATAAATGTCCTATTTTATAGAATGGCTTCATTTTGTTTCAATGTAAAAAAAAAAAAAATTAAGTTATTTTGTTATAATTAAAATTTGATAATTATTTGAATTTATCATTAGCTTCCTTTTTTTAGCATAATCTCAGCAACCCCCTGCAGTTTCATGGAGCAGAAATCCTCTAAAAAGTTGGATATAATTCTATTTAATATTCATAATAATGGCAATTTCAAATGCCAACTTTTAAAGCCATTTCAACCAAGTAAATTGTAGAAAAAAGGATGTGATTCATGTTTTAATTATTATTATTTTTTTTTAATTTTGTTTTGATACTAATTTTTGAGATGGAAAAGGCAAAGGGTTTTAATTCAATCCTTTTTGTTGGTAATGTAAAAATTCAGTAGGCCTGAAACGGGCAACCCTGAACATTGTTATTCATCTATTGATTGACAGTTTTTCCTGTACGCTCAGCTTTGCTACAGTTTCTGCTTTTCTATGCGTTTCTCTCGCTTACTCGTGTTTCTCTTCAGCTGCAGTCTCTGCAAAGCGAGAACAGCTCTCTCAGGCGGCAGGTCTCCGCTCAACAACCCTATCAGGCCCCCGGCGGCCCTGACCACCCCAATCCCTCCAGTCCCTCCTCCTCCTCTTCTTCCTCCTCCTCCTCTGCCCTGAAACGCCACCTGTCTGCACGGGCGAGCCGCCCCATGTCTATGTATGAAACCGGCTCTGGTCTGAAGCCCTTTCTCCCAAAGGGAGAGACCCCTTACCCTGAGGAGACCTTCCCCACCCTGCAACCCTTCCCAACCTATGTAAGTAAAGACCTGCCTCTCGCCTTCTTTTCCTCCTTCACCTTCCTTCTCTAATGTTGTGGCATGCTATTATGCTGATGGTGTGTTTCCAATTCTCAGCGCTTCATGTGAGTTTCCAAAATATAAATAACATTTTTGGTTCACTCAACGTATTACTTCCCTTTGTATCCTGTTGGCTCACATACTGTAGCAGCTATTTCATCATATTTCTGTTTCCTGTTTTAATTTCATGTGTCATTTGGGACTCACAAAGCATGTCTTTATTGCCAACTCAATGCACAAGTCACAGTCATTGCTTTATGTAACTGTACATATAATTTGAGATCACAGTTTTAGGTGCATCAAGCAATTGTTTCTTTCTGTTTTGCTGGCTAATACGATGTTGTACCAGTGTTTAATAATTAGAGTTGTCTGAGATAAATGAGTAGCATTTGGCTGTAAATGTAATCTCAACATGATTGACATACTCAAGTCAGTGTACATCATTTTAAACCTTTTTTTTCTCAAAAGTATTAAGCATTTATTTAGGGGTACTACTTTTTCACAGTGGAAACATTTTTAAATGTTGATATTGTTTTAAAAAAACAAATATTTTGTGTACATGTCAGTTACTCTGGCTCACAAGTTTCAGTATCATCGATATCATCTTGATGTAAAATGCCCAGTATTTTATTTTCAGTTGTCTTTTATACAATGTAAGTTCCTGTTCCATTTCCCTTTTCATTATTTACTGACCTTTCGAGTGTCTATATTAAAAAAATGTTTTAACTCTATGGTTTTCCATCGCTTTTACTGCATATTAATGCTACTGATTATTTTCAAATGCATGCAAATGTTAGAGCTGTTCAAACTTCGTTCAAACCATTCATCAGTCGTTATTTAACACTTGTGCCGGGTTCTATAATCTTTCACAAGGTAATGTTTGCTGCAATAGTTAACAGCATTTATTAATCTAGGTTAATGTTAATTTCAAAATCTAATACTGTTCATTGTGAATTTGTTTGTTCGTAATACATTAACTAATATTAATTTATACAACTGACAACTTGAAATGTTAGAAATGTATTGGTATGACATTACCATTCAAAAGTTTGGGGTGAGTACAATTTATTTTTTTATTTTTTTAAGAAATTAATACTTTTAGAAAAAGTGCATTAAATTGATTAAAAACGACTATTAATGTTACAGATATTTATATTTCAAACAAATGTATCATGGTTTCCACAATATATTAAGCAGCACAACTGTTTTCAACATTGATCATAAGAAATGTTTCTTGAGCATCAAATCGGCATGAATGGTTTCTCAAGGATCATGTGACTGAAGATTCCTGATGTACTAATAAATTACATTTAAAAAATTTAACACAATAAAAAAAATACGTTTTTTTAAATTGTAATAATATTTCACAATATTACACTTTTACTTTCCTTTTTTTTTATCAAATAAATGCAGCTTGGGTGATCATGTGACCTCTTTTTAAAAAATCGTACAACCCCAAACTTTTAAACGGTAGTTATTTGTCAAAAGTTTCTATTGACGACAACATCATGCGATTTTACAAAAGTCAAAATTACTATATCAACTTGTTCTCTATTCCAAGCTGTTTATCGTGGGGGGAGGGGGGGTATATCTTTCATTCTGTCTTAAGTCTTATTTGCACCCCTTTTTTAGACCGGAAAGGGTGTGTTTGTGGCCTCCTCCTCATCTCTCCCCTTCCTCCCATCCTCCCCGTCCTGTTTGCGGTATGAGAGTGCACAAAGGGTTAAGTACATCCTCACAAGCTCCGTTCCTCGTGGGATCGGCCGAAAGCTCCCAGAACCCCTTACCTCCTCTCCACCATCCTTCACAAACTCATCTTCTGCCTCCTCTACTCCCATCCATCCGTTTTCCTCCTACTCCTGTTGTGCTCCACGCATCAGCATGCATGAGCGGTCCCTCCAACAACCCTCCGGGGGCTGCTGTTTTCAACTGATACGTATTTCTGCCTTCATCATCCTCATAAATAGCACACGCATTTCATGGCTTGTGTCTTCATTCCCAGGGCGCACTGCTCAGGGCTTGTCCACTGCTGCTGCTACTGCTGCTCACACGTCTGTTCAGGATGCCTTGAAATGCCATACATGCTCTAGGCTGAAAGTAAAAAGATAAAAATGCACACTTGTGAAATATGTAGATGAGCTGGATTAGCTTGTTTATTTTTGTGTGTGCAGATTGCAGCCATATTTAGATCCATGTTTCTAATGTCACAGAGACTGTATTGTGGGTCTTGTTCATGGCTGTTTAGCACTTGGAAAGCAATGTTTTGGCTGTAAATATTTGGTCTGACAATTTTAATTTTAAAAGTATCGATCTAACAATAGAATTCAATTAATACAATATATTTTACCCAAATATTTTACCCAAAAAAAACTCTTAGTATAAACATAAAAAAAAAAAAGTTTTTAAGGCTTTAATGCTCACCAAGACTGTTTATTTGATTTTTAAAAACAAACAAACCTTAAATACAGTAATTTTGTGAAATGGCATTTTCATTTTCAGATAATTTTAATATATTTTAAAATAATAATATTATTAATTTAATTTATTCCGGTAATGAGAGAGCTAAATTTTCAGCATCATTACTCCAGTCTTCAGTGTCACATGATCCTTCAGATATCATTCTAATATTCTGGTTTAGTGCTCAACAAACAGCTCTTTTTATCATCAATGTTAAAAACAGTTGTGCTGTTTCATATTTTTCTGAAAACTTTTCCCCCCAGGTGATTTAATAAATAGAACGTTCAAAAGAACAGCATTTATTAAAAATAGAAATCTTTTGTAGCACTATAAATGACTTTACTCTCACTTTTAAAGAATTTAATGCATCTTTGCTAAAAAATAAAATAAATAAAAAATCTTTCAAAAAAAAATCTTACTGAACTCTAACATTTGAATGCTGTCCTTGCTGGAAGTCGATTGAGGATCTGGATTTTTATGTTAACTGAGAATGTTAACAATTATGTTGTGTATAAGAATAAAATCTGCAATGGAGTACATTGGGTATTATTAATCTAAATATAATTGATTATTAAATTCTGTATTTAATTTTTTTTAAATTGTCCGTTCAATGCATCACAATGCATTGATGCATTTTACACCCCTATGTACAAGGAGATAGAAAAGTAAAAAAAAATATTGTTTGTTCAACGGAACATTAGTTTGACTATTCAGACATCATGTGGCGGTTCTCCAAGCGTCATGTTGCCCTGATACGGAATTGTTATAATATTCTGTTACACTAATTTAGTAATGTCCCAACTCGGAGTGCTGCTGGCGTCTGGCCCCCTTACCTCATATCCTTGAGCACAGTAAATCATGCTCCAGTGAGACTGTCAAACAGCTTTACTGTAAATGCTCTATGGCACTGTGAAGGAATACAATTGAATCTAGTTCATGGTCCTGATTAGAGTAACTCTGAGGTTTCCCTCGAGGACACACTAGTTGTCTCATAGCTAGCTTTCGCATCCGCTGGTCTGCGCTTGGACTTATAAGTGCATTCAAGATACTTTACCATTTAAATGTTTGGGCTCGGTAAGATTTTTTTTTTTTTAATTAAATTAAAAGAAGTCTCAGTAATATTAACAGTAAAAAAAAATATTATTGTTCATTATTATTATTATTATTACAATTTAAAATTACATTTCTATTTTAATATATTTAAAATGTAATTTATTCCTGTGATGGCAAGGCTACATTTTCAACATCATTACTCAATTTTTTAGAGTCACATGATCCTTCAGAAATCATTCTAATGTGCTGATTTAGTGCTCAAGAAACATTTCTTATTATTATCAATGTTGAAAACAGTTGTGCTGCTTAATATTTTTGTGGAAACCGTGAAACACAATTCTTTGACGAATGGGAACTTCAAAAGAACAGCATTTGTTTGAAATGGAAATGTTTTTTAACAATGTTATAGTCTTTGCTGTCTGTCACATAAGATCAATTTAATGCATTCTTGCTAAACAGAACATATGGAGACTGGCACTCAGTTAACCCTCTGGGGTTCTTCATTTTAGACTCACACTCAGGACCTTCGGGTCAAAAATGACCCGGAGGGCGGCATTAAGATACATTTTATTTGAGTAAAATCAATGATATATATTTTTGTTCAATAATATTTTTTCTTTTCTTTTTTGGTGTTTTGAGATAATTTTATGATTTATAATTAATATGTATGCAATAATTAAGACCCATTTTTTCCCATTGAATATAAAAATTTATATATATATATAATAAAAAAATTTTTTTATTAAAGCTGTATTTCATTTAAGAGTCAAGTCTAGGCCTCATGAAAGCAATTTTTGAAATGAGATCGGAGCCATCTGGTGGACACACTGAGCATTTTTATCACGCAATAGCACATTTTTACCACTAGTGGATTTACAGCTCTCTGTAGAAACCTATGGTAGAAACACTCTAGTGATTTTTTTCACATATTGTTTAATTTTTTTCAGGTTGTTGATTTGAATATATAATAACAGATTCTCAAAGACTATTTTTGTCATTTTTTAAAATTTAAAAAAAAAAAAAAAAAATTTGGTTGGTTTAAATGGTAATTTGAAGTGGCAGTTTTACTTTATAATACATTCAAACCTGAACATTGCATTATAAAGAGAACAAATGGAAACTATTTTGTCACCCATTGTTTTAAGAGATTCACCCCTTCACTGTTGTGTGCTTTTTTCTGCATCCTGGCTGTTTGGTAGATTGTATGCACAAAAAAACTCTGTATTTTCAAATTTTTGCCAATTTCCCATTCATTTCCTATGCGGGTCATTTTAGACCCGAAGACCCTGAGTGTGACTATTTTTTTTACGACCACTTAGACTTTTCAAATCCTGTCCCCAATTTTTTTTGGGTGTTCATATACCAAGTACCAAAAAAGTCACCAAGTTTTGGACCATTCTGATGAAGCTACGATTTTTAACATTTTTTTATTTAAACGCTTCGGGTCATTTTTGACCCGAAGAACCCCAGAGGGTTAAATGTGGTAGATTTGAGCTTGGCTAGAAGTGCATTATTGATTAACATTATTGATTCTTAGACAGCTCTCGTAACCACATTTAAGGACTTAACTAACCTGTTTGCTCACCTCACACCTTGTAATGCTTTTCTAAAGGAACATGCTGGTGGAAAAAAATGAAAAGTGAAGGAAAAAAAAAGTTAGACGGGGGTTTTTTTCACCACCATGTCCCTTTAGTACGGAGCCCCTAAATGGGACATGGTGGTGTAAAAAAATAATAAGTCAATGCTTTTGCGTTCTCCTTCAAATGTTTTGCGTTCCCCCGAGAAACTTTGCGTTCGCTTGCAAAACTTTTGTGTTCAAAAGTTTTTCAGGAGAACGCAAAACAGTTGAGAAAGAACGCAAAAGCATTGCCAAATAATTTTTCCTTCCATTTTCTTTTTTTCTTCGCCATGTCCCTTTAGGGCCTCCATACTTGTCAGAGTTTAGTGCTTGAAAGATCTAATGAATCTAATGCTAAAAACTTGCTTCTACCATATTGACCATTCCATTAATGCAGATGGTTGAATTTAATTATTTTTATTTCATATGAACTAGCAAACATGCTGAAATGTCCAATTCCATCACTGCAGTTTCATTGCTCGCCACCTTTGGCATTTAGTGACGTCACATGATTTTCTTGCCGTGTCCTTTCCTGTCTCTTTAGGCCTCCAAATTTGACAAGCAGAGCAGTGTGTCTGATGGTGACTATGATAACACGGTCAACGAGTCTGATCTGGACGACTCTGGGTATGTGTCCACTTTCTTTCATATGTCCTGAGATAACTCAGGTCTCACTCCTATTGGCAAACAAAACCAGCCCTTTTTTTTCTCTGAAAATAAGACCGGCCTGTCCTCGACTTTTAGCCGAGCAAAGTGAGAAAACAAACTAATGATTCTGTAACCATGCATCAAGCAATACTCATCCCTGACTCCTTGGTTCCATTTACTGTATATGACTTCCTCCGTCCCCTGCAGCTTTGGCCGTAGATGTCGTCTGCGCAGCAGTGGCTGGATGGGAGAGAGCGGGTCGATACCCGAGCTGGATGATCACGAATCTGAGCCTGACCCCAGTCTGCCCAGCACAGAAGACGTCATCCGTAAAACTGAGCAGATCACCAAGAACATCCAGGAGCTGCTGAGGGCTGCACAGGAGAACAAGCATGAGAGGTGAGCGGACATCCAATGTCAACATCTCTCTTCTCGGATTTCTTCCTTCATCGTATATGGCAGCAAAAAAATCTGAGGTCACTTCCTTTTGGTAACTTCTGCCATATATTGAAGAATTTCACATGTACATTTTTGGGGCTTGGGTACAAATTGTTTCCCCATGACTTTAAGGGGTAGTTCACCCAAGTAATGAAAAGTGTCATTATTCACTCACCCTCACGTCGTTACGAAACTGTTTGACTTTCTTTCTTATGCGGAACATAAAACATATTTTTGAAGATTATTAGTGACCAAAAAATGTTCTCTTTAAAGCATTAGAGAGAGACACAAATCAACGTTTTTAGTTGTGAGAACTTTTCGATATTTCAGATGAAATATCACCTAAATTAATACACAAGCATGAAAGGTGGATAATTTAATTTTTTTGGCCTGTCCAACCTTTACCTTCTCAATGGTAACCAGCAATTCACATTGAACCACAACTACATCATTTTGACAATGTATTGAATTAATATCTTATTAATTTTAGTAAAAAAAAAAAAAAAAAAAAGTTTTTTAAATGCAAATATTTGCACATTTTCTACATCATGGAAGGAGGGATAAATAAATACTCATAGCATTGTCAATTTGTTTGTTTTTTTACACAAATTTGCCTTAAGTTGAAAGAGATGTAAGAGCAAATTATCAAACAAATACATTAATTTATGGGAAATGTAAGCCACTATATCCAGCGTTTAGTCTCAAACTGGTTAGTCTGTACTGAGTGATAGTTTAAATTAGTTAGTATTAATTAATATAGTTGGTGATTAGTATTAAAATTAACTTGCCATCGTTAGTTATTTACAGATTTATAATAATTTATTATTTATGAATTCCTTGATGAATAAAAAGCATTGATTTGAAATGGAAATAATTAGTTTTTTGTTACATTACACATCTTTATTATTAATTTTGATCGATACTTTTAAAATTAAAATTGTCAGACCAAATATTTACAGCCAAAACATTGTGTCCTTAATGAATACAAGTATTATTATTATATTTTTTAAATCTTACTGTACCCAAACTTTTTAATGATAGTGTATATATTTAATATTTCTTTATTTAATAAAATAAATTTGTATATTAAATATTTATTTCTGGAAAATAAAAAAATCACAAATCAAAGTAAAGTAACTGTTGCAAAAATGGCAAACCGCATATAAAACGAATAGAAAATGTATTTAGTTTGACCTCCAGAGGTTGACATTGAACACTTTCTGAAGGTTAAGCACTACCCTTTTTTATATAGACCTTTTAGAAAATAAAAGAATGCATATTGTACCTCATTCATGGAAAGTAATCCACTTGTTTCCCAACCAATGAATCATTTTCTCCATTCATACCTTTTCCATTTTCCATCTGTTCTCAATTGTCTGTGTTCATCATTTGGGGTCTGTCCCATCGGGGGCCACGCTCTGTTTGGGTCCCGATCTGTCTCTTTCCCAACCAGTGGACCATGTGAGCAGAGGGAGAGTGTCCGCAGACTTAGACACAGTCTGGGTTGTTTCAGCACACTGGTGCCGTGGGCAGACAAGCCCCCGTCTCCCATGCAGTCCCTCGGCCTCAGAGCTCCCCACCCAGCCCACCCCAACAACCCTGCCTCCTGGTACTCTGGCCTCTGTCCCTGCCTCACAGGCACAGTGTCTACCTCTATCTCTCTCTTCAGAACTCACCCACTAATCTGAACATGAATGCAATACGCATGATTACTAGTATACGGTCATGCCAAAGGCCTGTATCAGTTTGCTAAACTTCACCTTTATTTGCAGGAACTCATGTCAGTGCACTTGGTTCTCTTTTAGGAAAAGGCTTTGTACTGACATCCATCTAACTTTTGATCTTTCTGTTTTGCACTGGTTTGAATTTTATTGCAAAATAAGCTGTGTGATTTTTAAGATGTTTCTCAAGTTGCTGAAGAAAGCCAAACCCAGTTATTTTGAACAAGTAGTAAAAAAAAAATAAAAAAAAAATGTTGTAATGTAACTACATTACATTGAAAATGTCTGCAGCTTGTCTGCTGCACAACTACAAAAATGCATGTTTTTCTTTTTTTGTGGATTGATGCACAGAAATGTTGACTTTTATAAATGCACTTTAAAATAAATTAAAGCCATATATTCCATATATTTTCTAAATATATCTCTAAATATCTGTAATATGTCAGTGATATTATTCAACAAAAGGTATTAAAAGACAAAAAAAAAAAATAGGGCTGTCAAACGATTAATCGCGATTAATCGCATCCAAAATAAAAGTTTGTTTACACATAATATATGTGTGTGTACTGTGTATAATTATTTTTAATACATAAATGCCCACACATGCATGTGTATTTAAGAAATATTTGCATGTATATACTGTATATTATAGACTGAATGTAGCCTATATATAATGTATATTTTATATAAATATAAACATTTTATATATAAATAACATATTTTTCTTAAATATATACATGTGTGCATTTATATACAAAATAATTATACACAGTACACACACATATATTATGTAAACACAAACTTTTATTTTGGATGCGATTAATCGTGATTAATCGTTTGACAGCCCTAAAAAAATATATAAATCTGTAAACCACACAATATTTAGTATTTTTCATGTCAGTATAAATGTCCAGCTTTAAAGCTTTATCCACCGATTGCTCTGTGGTTAGCTTGATTTTTCACTCTCCAACCTCTGGTGGTTTTTATTTTGAGATTTTAATACAGTGTCTATCATTTTCTCCTCCAATAGCTTTATACCCTGCGCAGAAAGAATACATGTGGCTGTGAATGAGATGGCTGCCCTCTTCCCCAAGGTGTGCAGTTTCTCCCCACACTTCATAAATGCAATAAAAAAAGCTATAGACAAAGTCAAGTAAAATGTATATGTACAGTGCTTTTCACAATACATATTGCTTCAAAGGAGCTTTACAGAAAATCATGATCATGATTATAGTATTCATTGTTTATAATATTTATATATAAATAATCTTAACATTATTTATTATTTAAATAATATGTTTATTTTAATGATATATATATATATATATATATATTATTCACTAAAGTATTTGTATATATTTAAGTATCTTCATGCCTTAGTTGCATTCAGCAGATTAAAGCTGGGTGATTAATATAGTTCATATTAGCAAATTTCCTCTCGAGGACAAATAAAAATCAAATCATACAATCATATAATTGTGTGACAATACAAGCAATCAAGAAGTTGAGATTTGAGTATATATCGCCCTATTCAAGTATACTGTATGTATGTGAATAAAGTTGGACATACTTTTACATACTTATGAATATTTGTATACATACATATATTTATATTTAATATATCGTACATTTAGGATGTTTGTTAGATTTGTGTTTGGATGTACAGTGGCCACAAAAAGTATTTGGACACTTACTGTATGTCACATTTTTGATAATGTTATTTATTTAAAAATGTATATTATGGTAACACTTTACCGGAAGGTCCCATTAATTATTGTTAATTAATGCATTAACTAACATTAACAATGAGCTCAAAAGTTCATAAAATAATATTAACAGATCTGATTTTAATAATATATTAGAAAATGTTGAAATTAACATTAATAAATGCTAGTATTTTTCATTGTTAGTTCATGTTAACTATTGCAGTAAAATAACGTTAACAAATGGAACCTTATTTTAAAGTGTTTCCGGTATTATTAATATTATATAAATATGTCTATTTTAATTTTATATTATTCACTATAAAATATAATGACTCGCACAGTTATCAGACTTGCTTGATAACTAATTACTTTTTTATTTTATATTTTGCAGTTTTTTCCCCCAGTTATATATTATTCATTCAAATATTTTTATACATTTAAATGTCTTAAGTGTCCAAATGCTTTCTTGAGGACATCTGGACATATATTAAGTAGTTAGCCTTCTTGAACCACTATAAAATAGTCTTTATGTATTTTATGCGTATTTTTTTCTGTATTTTTACCTTTGTCCACAGAGACCACGCTCTGAGACCGCAAGGAGCTCTTTGCGCTTATTAACGTCCAGTGCAAACCGACTGCAGAACGAGTGTAAGAAAGCGTCTCCTCTGGACAGCAGCGCCGCAGTGGACATGCAGTTGGTCACCCAGCAGGTCATCCAGTGCGCTTATGACATCGCCAAGGCCGCTAAGCAACTTGTTACCGTAACCACCAAAGAGAACAACAACTGATCCTGCTTCCACCCATTTCCACCTGTAATGCAACCCTGATGGGTTTCCTCAGTGTTATTTTATTAGTCATTTTTAGGTTATGTCAGGTGTAATCTAAACTGTATTTGCATGTTTTCATTTCTAATTTAAAGTGTCTGTTTGGCTTGAAGCCATAAGATAAAGCCTGAAATGCTCACAAGGGTTGTGTATGGACATGTGTGTTAAACCGTGAAATTGTATTTGACTAGATGTTGTGAGCAGAAATGAGCAGCCAGTCACTAAATATTCAGTAAATGCCTGACTCTTTGCACTATACTGAAAACTTAAGTTCTTTTACCTTTTTATAATCAAACATTTAATCCATAATTTGTGGATGTCTTTGTTGTTTTCGAATTGTGTTTAAATTAAGCTTTTCTTTTCAATGATAATCTCAGTGAAATCTATAATATATATAAAAAATATTGTAGTAATCTATCTGTACAAAACATTCAGGTAGTTTGGTCAGGTAGGCCAAGTTTAGGTACAGATACAATAAACTTGAAAGTGTAAAGATGTCATGTTAAAGATCAGATTCCATTCATGTCAGAGGTTAAATGGGCGTTTTGGATACGCCAGGTGCCTATAATTAAAATATATTTTCCGTGACAGTATAAATGTCCAGCTTTAAAGCTTCATCCACCTATTGCCCTGTGGTTAGCTTGATTTTTCACTCTCCAAACTCTGATATATACGCCAGGTAGCTATAACTCAGATTTATAGGGTGTATTGAAGAAAAATATATTATGAAAAGTTATTTAACTGTAGTTTAATCAGATTTCATCAACACTATTTATTTACAACTTCTTGTTTTCAATACATTCACAGTATATGAGGAGACAATAATCTCCTCCAGCAGTTTGATGCTGTTTTTGTGATACTTTAGATGCGTTTCAGTTTTTTAGATAGTTCTCCATATTGTACATTCACTTCAGTGTTTAGGCAGCTCTTCTCTTTGCAGATCTTTTTTATTTCCTCTCTACTAGGTATTTTGATCTAACCTGTTCAGGTTAGACTTCGCAAACCGTTGTGCAGTGGACTGGTTGCTCAGTGTTATTAGGGCTAAGAGTCAGTGACTTACAGCTCAGTGTTAAAGTCCCCTTGTTTGAGTGTTTGTAGTTATTCAGATGAACTGGTCTTCCACTCATTCATTAATATTATTGTTATGCCTGTGGTTAAAAAGACAAATGAGTTCTTTATTTTTTAAATAAACTTAATTTATCATTTTGAGCTTTAATTGTTGCTCCAGAGTTTTTGTTCATATCTGATAGTGAGCCATATGAATCAAGGGGTCAGTCGTCGTCTATAGGCTATATGCCGAACCTCACATGAACAAACAGGAAAACAGGTCTCATTACATCCGCTTGTCAGAAAAAAAACAGTAAAAAATAAAATCCAACCGTCTCCATTGACTTTGTATTGCGTGAAGCTGCCTCCGTGTCATTTTAGATTTAACAAAAAAACAAAACAATGTCTTAAAGCTGCTATGTGACAGGGTGTACAGCAAACAAGCTAAAACAAACAGAAATAAGTTTTTATAAGCTGTCGACCCCGAAAAACGAGCGTTTAATGACACAAAAGTGGATGAGAATACGCCCACTGTAGGGGAACGTAATCGTCGACAGGGATCGTTTAGCTTACAGAACTATAGCTAATATATAAAACTGACATTTGGATATTTGACTCACCAGTGACAAAATATTACGCGTAGTGTATTTTTAGTGCATACTGAGTGTCAGGTTTTTGGGGGTCGACAGCTTATAAAAACATATTTATTGTTTTAGCTTGTTTGCTGTACACATTGTCACATAGCAGCTTTTAGACATTGTTTTGTTTTTTTGCCAAGTCAGAAATGACAAGGAGGCTTCTCGCAATACAAAGTCAATGGAGACGGTTGGATTGTTTCCCCTCCGGTGGGCGTGGTTTTCAGATTATGATGCGTGTCGCTCTGTCTCTATTACTTTTCATAAAAAGTAATGCAATTAGTTACTTTTTAAAGGAATAATGCAATATTGTAACGTTTCTTTTAAACACTGATCCCCAACACTGATTATAATAGAAGCAAGCTACTCAGCATAACTCTTTTTTCATGACTGGGTGTTTCTTTTTGCATATTTTTAAAATTAACCTACTTCTTGCACACATTGCTATCCAGTTAAAGGTCTTCAAAATACATGAATGCGGTAGACAATGGATAACATTTTCTTTATTGAAAACCTTGTCAGCATTGAAATTCATCTATACAAAACAATCTACATATAAAAACAGCCCTACATGCAAACCTCAGGACTAGTGCAATTGAAATTTTAAATTGAGAACTTACCTAAACAACTATTGATGGAAGCCATAATCTAAATCATAAACAATTGATGGGCCATATATTAAAATAATCTCTGAGGGGAAACCTGGCTCTCATTAATGCACAAAGTGGCCGAGATCAGCATGGACATAGATATCCCCGAAAATGCATCCTAGCATCTGATAGGGGATGTGGCACAAAAATTCTTCATGTAAAATCGCTCTCATGTCCATGCTGACCGGGGTCTGCCGTGAATCTGCCATGATGAAAAAAATTTAGCAGTTAGTGAATTTCAAAGTACTTGTCATATAAACACTGGGTCTTCATTATTACTTGAATCTTCTTCACTCACTCTCTGCTGGTAGCCCTGTTGATTCATTCTCTCCGTCTCAAGACGAAGCTCCTCCTCCTGCAGCCTAAGCTCCTCCCTCTCTTGTACTTCTTCCTGTTCTTGTCTTTGCTGCTCTTCCCACTGTTCCTTGCGCCTCTGCGCCACCTGTTGGATGAACTCATCTATTGAAGACATCTATAACTCGTATACCAAAGTTAGTGTGGTGCTACTATACACACACCTGTGCATTGATTTCCTGCATGCGAGATGTGCGGGATCCCTCCTGCTGCTCCCTCTCCTGGCGTAGAGTGAATCTCTCTTGCTCCAGCTGTTGGATGAGCTCCTCTCTCCTCTTCAGAGACTCCTCCCTTGCCAGCCTGTTCTCCTGCATTTGTTCATCCAACTGCTGCTGACGTCCTATCAGGACCTACCAAACATAGTTTAAAAATATATAACATCCAACACACTAACTATCAGCTATTTAACTACAGTTCTTAAAAATGAACTAGATTATCATTATAAAACTGTATAATTCTACTTCAAAATACAATTTAAAGGTCAAGTGAGTCATTTTAGTGCCACTGCAAAAATAATTATTGTATTCATTCGAACAGACAGTGGCCCATAAAGTAAGTTGTGATTTCAAGAAAATAAATAAATAAACAGACCATTTACCTTTAAAGTGGCAATCATACATTTCATAACATTTATTTATTATAATATCACACATGATTTTATTTTTTCCCCAAAGGTACACTCATAATAGTAATAATTAGTAATCCTAACTTTTTTTAACGGTAGTATACAGCATATTAGTATATTAGAATGATTTCTGAAGGATCGTGTGACACTGAAGACTGGAATAATGGTCATCACAGGAAGAAATTGCATTTTAAAAATATTAAAATAGAAAACAGTTTTACAATTTTAAATTGAAATAATATTTCACAATATTACAGTTTTTAATATATTTTGGATCAAATAAATGCAGCCTCGGTGAGCATAAGAGACATTAAAATCATAAAACATTAAAATCTTACTGACTTTTTGAAAGTAATATATTTATTATTAAGTTTTTCACCAAATTTGATGTTCCATGACTATGTTCCACCCTCTCCAACTAAAATTAAATAGGCTGTTTTTTGCTGCTGTTCCTTTAAGATATCAATGTAAACATCCTCTTTGCATATGAAATGAGATCCAGCACTTACTTACTAACTAAGGGTTTGAAAGTCATATATTAATGCATTAATCTATATGATGTTGTCAAATTCAGAATGAGTCTGAAAATGTTTCTCAAAGTTAGAAGTTTCTATACTTCTTTAACATCTTAAAAGATTGAGGACTGTTTAATTCCTCATTATATGACCCATAAAAAAATAATTAAAAAAACTTCACAAAATTATTCACATGAAGTATGTGAGCAAAGAGCACTGTTTAAGGGGGTTTTTAATAAAAGAAAACCAACGTTCGAGCATGTGACTGCTAATCTATTGTCAGCCTCGTCTCACCTCCCGCATCAGTCTCTCTCTGGCTCTCCTCTCTTTCTCCCACTCTGCCTCTCTCTTCTCCCAAACACGCTGAGCTTCCTCCCTGCAGGCAGCAAACAAAAACAGAGCATGAGTCTGATTTACAGGTACAAACGCATCTTTAAGTTCTTAAAAAACCATCCTGACTGTGCTTACCGATACAAAATATCAAACTCTGCCTCCCTCTCCCTCTCCAGCTGGAGCTGCTCCTCTATGACTCTCTTCATCCAGGCGGCGTCAGCGACAGCTCTCTCTTTCCTGGCTTTCTCCAGTCTCTGGTCCTCCACCTCTCCCTCCAGCAGTGCTGCCAGGATCTTGCGGTCTGCCTCCTGGTGGACAGGAAAGTTATTGCAGTTACTCAGTCAGGACAAACTATGTTGAGTTCTGGGGCAAAAAGTGGTAAAAACATCAGTGTCTGCTGTAACATACCAGTTCCTCCTGCACCTGCTGTGCTCTCCTTTTCAGCTGAGCACGATACTGACGAGTCAGGAAATGCCTGTGGAAGCAGAGAACTACTAATTTAGTATTATTTATATACTATAGAGTGCAACAGTCGGGTTCCAGAAGTAAAAACTCCATTCATTTTCTTCATAGGGAACAACTTATATAGCTTTAAAGGCAGACCTACTGTGAGCTACGAAGTTGCTAATGAATGCTACTTGCTTCTGCTGAAGCCATCAGCCCACATTATTTCAGCTTATTTTTTAAAATAATCGTGTTTAACAGCGGAATTCCTGGTGAAAAAACTACATTTCCCATGATGCTGTACAGAAAATTACACCAATGAGAGAGTCGAAAAAAGCAACACATGCCATAATAGCTCTTTAGCTCCACCCACTCCTATGAAGCACTGCATATGACATAATCGAGTCAATCCCTCTACACTCTCAAAATACTTAAATGTTTGTATGTACATGCATTTTTTTGTAATTAACTTCAAATGATGTAATGTTGTGATTTACCTCATAGCTGATTGGCTTGGTTTATGGCTTATACAGTCATTCTTTAAAATATACTTTTTTTAAAGTCCCCCTGTGGTGTAAATCAAGCTTTTGATGTTGTATATATGTCTATGTGGTGTTTTTAATATGCTTTAAGACAAACCATGTATAAATTCATAAGTCAACACCATTGCTGAGTGTTTCTGACGTCACAAACTACCTTGTAACCAATCACGTCAACGAGTGAATCTCTGAGCTGGTGTGAGTGAGTGGAGGCGGGGATAATTTGCATATTTATCGATCTGCGTATATTAAATGAAGCAAGGGTGTGAAGTTATATTCAAGCTATATTAAGGCATGAAGATTTTTTTTTCCAAGGAAAAAACGTTTAAATATGTAATTTTGGTGATCAAAGA